GTTGGAAGACACAAGAACTTCCCACGCTGGAGGAATGGCAGATGAAACTTATGGACTATATGGAATTGGCGGAAATGACTGGTAGAATCCGTGACCAGGGAGAAGAGTCGATGGAGGAAGACTGGAAGAAATTCAAAGACTATCTTCAGAAACACTGCAAAATTAAGGAATGTTAGAGTGATGTTGGACTGAAAACAAGTGGTTTCCAGCTGTACAGGTTAAAGTTAAGGATAGATTATGATTAAAGATCAAGATTAAAGATGTTTAAAGAAATGGAAATTTGATAATAAAAGGGAAAAATTTAAAGCTATATGACATTAAGATCAAGGATTAGGTTTAAAAAAGTTGAAGTTATATATTTTAACGTTTTATTAAATTAAAGATTGGGATTAAAAAAGTGGAAAAGAAACTGCTGGACAAATAATGTGGATTGGAATACAAAAGAGGGAGGTATGAGGAAGTCCAGAAAATAAGTAATTTAAAACTGGAAATGGAAAAGAGAGTTTGTTTTTAATTGTTATTGTCAGGGGTTCAGAGAGAGAGGCACAGGGTAGGCAGGAGATGGAGAGCGAAGGGGAGGAATTCCAAGCCAGCGAGGAAGAGGACGACAATGACTCAAGGGATTCCATGAGTCTTTCCAGCGAATCAGAGGATTCCCAGAAGGGGGCGCCGGTGGTCAGGGCCAGGGGAGCCCCAGGGGGGAAATGTCAGGAGCAGGGTGCCAGCGGAGGATCCCAAAGTGGCAGCTGGGCGTCAGGACCAGCCTCCCCACCAAAGTGCAGCGAAGGGGTGGAGTTTCCAGTGTGTCAGAGGAAGGAGCTCCAGCAGCAGAGAGAGGAGGGGGGTCAGAGCAAGCAGCCCTCCCGGAAGGGGAGGGGAGCAGTGAAGGGAGCAGTGTAACTGTCAAAAGGAAAGTTAGAGGTTTGGCGCGCGCACCTAGTTCAAATGTAGAGGCGCGCGGAAGTGCAGGGAGCCCGGAGGAGGGGCCAGGTCCCAAAGCCCGCAGGAAGGGGGAGCAGCAGTCTGATTCCGCGTCAGAGGAATCCAGAAGGGGGCAAACCCCAGGGGGCAGAAAGACCCTGCGGAAAAGGAAGGAGAGAAAGAGGTGGAGCAGCGCAAGTCTCTTAAATTGGTGCAGAGGAGGGACTGACTCAGACGGGACTTACTGTCAAGGCTGCCTCAAGTCTTAGCTCACAAAAGACCAACGCCTACGTCTTCTTGAATACAAAGGTGTTTATTGCAGTTCATGGTTTGCTTGACATCTTAGGCGCGCAGCCTTACGTCTCTTACGCTAGACCGCCGAAGTCCCGTCTGAGTCATTCCCTCTGACGCGGAATCAGACTGCTGCTCCCCCCTCCTGCGGGCTTTGGGACCTGGCCCCTCCTCCGGGCTCCCTGCACTTCCACGCGCCTCTACATTTGAACCAGGCGCGCGCGCCAAACCTCTAACTTTCCTTTTGACAGTTACACTGCTCCCTTCACTGCTCCTCCCTTCCGGGAGGGCTGCTTGCTCTGACCCCCTCCTCTCTGCTGCTGGAGCTCCTTCCTCTGACACACTGGAAACTCCAACCCCTTCGCTGCACTTTGGTGGGGAGGCTGGTCCTGACGCCCAGCTGCCACTTTGGGATCCTCCGCTGGCACCCTGCTCCTGACATTTCCCCTGGGGCTCCCTGGCCCTGACCACCGGCGCCCTTCTGGGAATCCTCTGATTCGCTGGAAAGACTCATGGAATCCCTTGAGTCATTGTCGTCCTCTTCCTCGCTGGCTTGGAATTCCTCCCCTTCGCTCTCCATCTCCTGCCTACCCTGTGCCTCTCTCTCTGAACCCCTGACAGTTATGTTTTGTGTTTTTATTGTTAAGTTTTGTATTGTTTTTTGTGTGTGTTGTTTTTCTTTTTTGTTTGTTTAAAACTTTAATAAAAAATTATTAAAAAAAACAAAACAAATTGCCATGTAAGGCTGTTTTCTCCAAACCACACCCACCTGTCCTATAATATGCGACATCAGGTGTGGGGCACACAGAGACGTGGCTCCTACGGAAATCAGGGTTGAAATCACCATCCATCACGTGATGGGTGGTAAAGTTCAAGTCCGATGTATCTACTGCAAGATCACAATGTGGTGATCAAAAAACGTGTTGTCCCTCCTACCGGACAAAAGTGGCCGACCCAATTCCGGTCCATCTGTCTCCCACATATCCCATGTTCTTTGGTTTTTACGTGAACGGGGCAAACACATGATGAAACAAAACACGACTGCTGCCATCATGTCCATAGCTTAGCCCTCAAACACCTCAGGGTCAGGTCCCATTCTCTTGACCATATGCAGCAAGGGTCCTTTGCATGATGCAAAAAATCACTTTCATGAAACGAGCATCTTACCTGGATGAGCTTGTCTCATGTGGTACGTCACTGGGTATGGGTGGGATTCCCCACACAGTTCACAGATGGTCTCTTTCACCAAAGAGATTTCCATTCAGCCTAGCCTCATTCAGTCTAGCCTTTTCTTTCTTCTTCTTTTCCTTTTCGACTTCTTGTTATTTTTGTCACTTTCTTTCTTCTTCAACACGGCACAGGACCCGGTGCTTGGATAAATCATGCTCTGAAGAAAAAGAAGAAGAAGAAAACGAGTTTGGATTTGATATCCCGCTTTATCACTACCCTAAGGAGTCTCAAAGCGGCTCACAACCTCCTTTCCCTTCCTCCCCACAACAAATACCCTGTGAGGTGAGTGAGGCTAAGAGACTTCAGAGAAGTATGACTGGCCCAAGGTCACCCAGCAGCTGCAGGTGGAGGAGCGGGGAAGTGAACCCGGTTCACCAGATTACAAGTCCACCGCTCTTAACCACTACACCACATTGGCTCTCATTCTGAGAAGAAGCCTTGATTGTTGCCAAAGAAATGTCTTCTCAGAAGGCTACCAGGGGTTGAAGGGTTAATGGAAGAGGAGACTTGGAATTCATAGTATGGTGACAGGTAGTTTCAAAAGAGGTAGCTTCACCTTTTCCATCCTCACACCGTTCATGTAGAGGAGGCTCTTTAAGCATAGAGAGGATCTTGTTTTTGTTTATGCTGCCCCTTTTCGATATGTCAGGCCCAAGGCGGGGCTGGGGGGCGGGCTATGTTAAACATATTCAGAGCAGGAGATATTTCCAGGGAATGTCTATTCTTCAGCTTGGTCTGGAGCCACCGCCTTTTCCTTTTCCTTTTGGGGTAGTGTATGCCTATTTGCTATCATATCCTGTGTGCTGTTTGAGAAAAAACCATAGCATAGCATGACACACAACATCCTCAAGCCCATTGCAAGAGGAGACCACCCTAGAACAGTCAACTGCAGGCAACAGCTGAATCAATACCAAGAAATAAGAGTTCTGTTGTATCCCAAAAAATAATTCATTGGTAAACTCTGAAAAATGCATTAAACATAGTCCCTTAATAAACCCACGTTTTAAGCAGGTGTACAAGAAAGTTCAATCAATGCCCGATAATGAAATATATGACCAAGGCAAAAGTGGTTTGCATCAGTTTACAACATAAACCACCTTTAGGAAGTTAACAGTTAGCAACCAAGGGTGGAAAAGCAAACCTTGCGTAGGATAGCTGCTTTTCTTACGACTGCTACTATTATAAACCAGTATCTAAGAAGATAAGAACTGAAACGACAAGGATTCATACCTCGCCCACTGCCTTGACTTTGTGTCCCAGAACTAACATTCCATTGGGGAGACCTCTAAGGTTGGGACAGCCTCTGATGGCGTGACCTAAGGGGCTGGTCTTCACTACTTTGTATATTCCAGGCCCACCACGAATGAACGGCATTTCTGGTCCCTGCATTCCCCCTTCCTGAGGGCAGTGTGAGTTGAGGTCTTTGAAAAAGTCATCTGTGTTAGATCTAGACTCCTGAAAATTTTAGAGGAAAAAAACAAACAAAAAATTCCTCTTAATAATGCCTTTGTACTTTCCAACTAAGCCCACCTCTTTGTTAGGCCTGAAATAACTAAGGTCTAATGCACTTAATAGAGCATATGTTAAGCTATCATTTTCCATATAAGACAGGAACTGAACTTGCAGTATTCACTATATTACTGCTGAATATGAAGAATGAGCGATATGAGTGTATATAAAAAAATAAAAGGCACACATTTGCAACATGAACATTTGGAGGAATTCTTCAGGCATGATTAAGAAAGATAATACAAACACAGGACCAACACACAAGACTTTGGCCAAGTAAAAGGATTCATGCAGGAGAGTGCAAGAAAGAAGGGGGGATAGAGGCTATTTATGCATCCGGGTTGGCGCCTCTGGCAATGGCGGATTTCCTCCGATCGGGAGGAACCCGCTCCATGGAAAACAGGGTCTGAACCGCCACGGCGAGGTGGAGACCCATCAAAAACCACAGGCGGGAGAAGCCTGTGGACATGGGATTCGGCTGGCACCTTTGCGCCCCCTCCACTCACGGGGAAACCCGGTTTTGGGGATCCGGAGCGACGTGGGGTGAGTGGCGCGGTGCTTTGAATCGACTGCTTCTTTCACGGAGTGAAGCCACATTGCTGTTGCCGGAGAGCGCTGACTTTTTCCTGTGGACAATTGGATTTCAAACAACTGCCCGTGAGTAGAACGGAAAATTGGACTGCGAAATTTCTTAATTAGGCACCGAAAGCAGGAAGGTCTAAACAGGAAGTCCGCCTTCCGCTTTTGTAGATAGATTGAAGCAAAGACACGGCAAGGTAGAGTTTAGAAAGTCGTTTGTAAAGGACTAAATTTTCATCATTTAAAATTATTGAACCCCCCTTGGAAGCAGGAGAAGAGGGGGGAACCTTTTTTAGACTGTTTAAACCTGCAGAAGAGAGAGTAAAGAAAGGTAACTTTTCACTGTCTTGAACCTGGGAGCGGGGTGTCAAGACAGATGTTTTGGAGAAGCCCATTGACTATGTACAAACGTTTTTGACAAATAGTTAAAAGAACAGAAACATATTGATTCCATTGTTCCCTTTCGCCTTTAAAAGGAACAAAATATTGACAAAATATCCGAAAAAGGAAAACTTTGTTGCTAAATCTGCCTTTAAAAAAAAAAAAAGGAAAAAAAGATGGATACAAATAGAAATTGTTTCCCCTAGAGGGAGCTTGTGAAACTGTTGAACTGGGGAGTTTTGCAGCTGTAAAAGATTAAGATCGTGGGACCAGACTTCGACCTTGAACAAGAATGTGCTCAGAGGCTCTGGTGCTTGCCTTTTGCAAGACAAGTGCTTTATTGGAACAGTTACATGAGAAAATGGATTTGATGACAGTTGCGATAGGAAATTTTGGACAGGCAGTGGGTACCTATGTAGAACCCACTCAGGAATCAACCCAGGAATGTGCTTTGACAGATGAGATGAGGGAGGAGGCTGTTGCTGGACCTCGGATGGCAGAGATGGAGGGAGCTGTGGCCCAGCAGGAACATGAGTCGTTGGATTTGATGAATGAACCTGGAAAAAGTCAGATTTGGAGAGACGGAGATCTGCTTGGTTTGGAGATGGGGGGCTGGATGGACCCCCCTATGCAGAGATGTTTTGATTTTTCAAGTCTGGCTTTAGGCCGGGGGGAGCTCGGAGTTGTGGGGGCCCCTAATTTTGGAGGGGCCTTGAAACATGCTTTTAAATACCACATGGATTTAAGTGTTGACTATGGAAAAGGGGCTGACTTGTCAAGAAGGGACAAAAATATTGTCAAGTTGGAGTCTCCCAGAGTGAAAGGAGCAGAAGACAAAGTAAAGTACAGGTATAAACATGAAGAAGACCTGCGGAAGGGACATGGAAAAGACTTAAGAGCCTCGGATATAAGGTCACCAGGTTGATGGACTAGATGGATGGGATAGAAAGGACTGACAAAACCCGAGACCAGGAGAAGAGACGATGGATGAAGATTGGAAGAAAGTTTTAAAAATTTATTTAGAAAAGTATCGCAAAATTAATGAGTATCAGAAAAATGTTGAAATGAAATTAATTGGCTTTAGCAGAAATGTTAAAAAGAATTATGTAAGAATATGTTATGGTTAAAAGAATTAGGTATAAATAAGACTAAAGTTTTAAGCTTTACGATTTTTTATGGTAAGATAAGGTTAAAATAGATTAAGGTAATTTAATGACAGAATATTGTGAAAGATGGAAAGGATTTGCTGAGATAATTAACAACTAGAATACAAAAAAGGGAGGTGTGAGGAGGT